GTCGTGTCTGTGGGGTGTCACTGTCCCACAGGCAGCGCTTGTTGCCAGTGTTCACGCAGCGTAGCTTTATTTTCTTCCTTCCTGGTGTTTTCTTACGTAGGTGAGAAGAAGCTCGGTACGGTGATCACTCCGGATACGTGGAAAGATGGCGCAAGAAACACTACAGGTATTCTTGGGATGTTCAGCACTTGTTTTTCAGGCATCTTGGAGCCCGTGGGGCACCTGAGCTGATTTACCATCTTAAGGCTAACGTTTGATATAGTTAATCAGATTAATTTTTAACTCCTGTGTTTTTCCTCCCATGCTAATTTAATTAATTTTACCCTGAATCCGTTTTGTTGTGTTTTTTTTTTCCCCCCTGGTTTTCTCCTTGAATGAAGTGACGACACTCAAAGAGAGCACAGCATGAAGTGTTCCGTTGCCTTGCACTTTGGTCCTATGCTGTGTATTTTATCTCTTTGTGACTTAATTTGCACGTGCGTTAAAAGCTGTAAAGTAAGCTTTTTGAAGTATGCTTGGAACTGGGAAGTTCATTGGGTTGTGTTTTCTTTATTCTTTTTTTAGAAAGTGGTGGCCGCAAGTTAAATGAAAACAAGGCATTGACCTCAAAGAAGGCAAGGTATTTAATGCTGATTTTGCCTAAAAAAGTCAGTTTGCTATAACTGAGGCCTGTGTTCTGCGTTCCTGGGCAGCTGTCAAAATTTACCCAAAATACACTTGAAAAAAAATAACAATTATGTTGATTATGATATTTGATTAGTTGGTGAAAGTATGTCCATACATGTTTCTTGCATGCTTTCTGCTGAATGATAAGGCGTGGGCAACTGTTTTACTGCAGTTCTCACTGAAATTGCCAGAGTTTGGTTATTTTGTTAGGAGAGGAGCTAGGAAGGGTTATTTTCTGTGCTATGATTGCTGGTACAATCACTTCTGTAAAGTGCATTTCTGTAAAGTTCGGAGGATGTTCTGTTATTATGTGGGGCAAGGCACTGCTGGAAGGCGTTGAAGTTCAGCATAGTCTTGTGTCTTAATAAATAGGCACAATTTTAGTTCTCATTTTGTTAAGTTTTTGTCTGTAATGCAAGACATCTCTCTTAATGGGGAAAGTGGGAGCCTTTCAGTATATTTTATGCAGCCTTATTTTATTTTTTGTCCCAAAACAGAGTCCTCTTACCTCAGTTCTTGATACTTCTGTAACTCTTCAACAATCTTATGAGGCCTTTACCAGCTCCTGGTATTCCTTAACAAGTCTTTCCTTTGTTACCACTATTAGAAATAATCCTTGTATGTCCCTTTACTAAATTAAAAGTTTTGCTGGAGTTTCTTGTCTATGCCCTCTGGCTCAGTTTTTTTTTAGGATGAGGTAAAGGAAATACTTTATTTCAAGGCATACAAATAAAACACTTTTCCTTTTTCCCAGGTTTGATCCTTATGGAAAGAACAAATTTGCAATATGTCGGATTTGTAAGAGTTCTGTCCATCAGCCAGGGTCTCACTATTGTCAAGGATGTGCCTATAAAAAAGGTGAGCTGCACTGAGTACCAAATTGCCTCAGGTTGGTTTGAAATTAGAGAGAAAGTGGAACTGTTGCATTTGTTTCAGCTTACAGAAAAGAAGGCTAAGATGAGATTTAACTGCTATCTGGTACTACTGCTAGGAAAGTGTAGAGAAGATAGAGTCAGACTTTTCTGAGAGATGCAGTAATAGAATAAGAGACAATGTACTCAGGTTAGAATACGGAAAATTTTAATTACATACCAGGAAAGCAATTTTCACTGTGAGGGTAGTCAAATACTGAAATAACAGGCCCCCTGCAGTGGTTGTGCAGTCTCTGATGGAGGTATGCAGAGCTTGACTGAAAGCTGTGAGCCTGTCTCAGCTGAGTCAGCTGTGTTTTGAGTGGGGCAGGACTGGAGACTGCCAGAGTTCCTTTCCCACCTAAGTAATTCTGTGGTTCTGCTTCTTTTAGGATGTGTCTGGTATCTAAAGCAGTAGAACTCGAATAATAGCTGTGAGCTTATATTTGCAACTGCACAGACAACTGTCATCTAGCAAGTTTGAGTTTTCTTAGTTTTTAAAAAATGAGATTTTGTAAAACTTGCTCGTTGCAGTCCCTTTTCTACGTCCTTCTTCCCTCTCCCCTTTTTGTAATAGCTAAAACTCTAAGTAGTGGCCTCAAAAAAACCCAAACAACAAGCAACCCACCTACAAAAAACACAGCAACCAACCAAGCAAAATACTGAAACCAAACACCCCAGACTCTACCCCACCCCCTCCCCACACCTCCAAGAAAACCCCTCAAAACAACCAGAAGTCCAACTTCTGATCTTAGTGAAGTGATAGGCTAGGTTATCAAAAGTAGAATACCTGGGGCATAAAAGACAAAGAGAAAAAAAAGAGGTTGAGTTGTAAAAGCAATTAAGAAAATGTCTCTGAAGGCAAATTGTGCTCATGGTTGTCTTTGTGCCTCCATGTATTCTTAAGCACTCAGTATCTTAAGTCATTTAAAGGTGATTTCTGTGGTCCAGCTGTAAACACGCTTGATGCATTCTATGTCAAGCTTGGTTTAAGATGAGACAGAGAAATGAAAAAGTAAAATATAATCATCATACCTAGAAAGCAAGATACTGCACTGTCCTAATACATAAAATCTTTCTGTACTTTTGAGCTATGTGTGAATGTCTGCACAGAAATTCTGCTTATACCTGGAAGCTTCTATCTTCTGTGTTAATAATAAGTCTCCAGTATTGTTAAAAACTGTTCAGAGTTTCCTGAGGGGGGAAAAAATATCAATTTAAAGCGGAGAGCCTTAAGGATATAAAACTTCTACTAGTCTTGTGATTTTGACTAGGTGAACAAAAGGGCTTATTTATAAACCCAGGAGGGGCAAAAAAGCAACATGAACTCAGTTGCATTATTAATACTGAGGAACCCACATAGCACAAAGACATGGGGTGAACCAATTGTTGCATGTAGAGCTACAGGTAACCAGTAGTAAGTTTTGTTTATGAAGTTACTTTAATTGTTCTATAAATGTGTCCTGTGCCCCTGAGTCAGTGGCTAGCAGCCTGCTGTAAGAGGGTTGCCTTTTCTAGTTCCTAGCTGCTCACCAGATGGTTTCCTGAATCCCATATGGTAGAACATTATTGTCTTTCTTAAACTTACGGCCTTTTTGGGTGGGCTTCAGGATTTCTTCTTTTTCTGCCTGTGTATCGTTCTAGAATGGTTTCTTCACAGAATTCAGAACTCTGGGTGTATTAGCTTCTAGTTCTGACCACCAAGGATGTGGTTGTGGCGTGTTTCTTGAAGCAAATGCAGTTATATGGCTTACTGCTTCAATTGTTGAATATCTGAAACAGCAAAGCAATCCTAGAGTTAATTACTCCTCAATTTAGATCTGAAGTGAACAGCCTGTGGGCTGGATTTTGCTCTTCAAAGTAAATCATGTGGCATGTTTCCTGCTGTTCTCTGTCCTAAGGGAATCCTAGATATGTGTCCAGTCACATGATGTCAGTATATGAAAGCACACAATTTGGAGAGAGTTAACAGGAATAATTGCCACAGTACTTTTTTTTTTTTTTTTTTTTTTTTTGTCTGCTGATGAATGGTCTTGAAAAATAAGATGTAGACCTACTGGGCAAAATATTTGGTGCCTTTATGCTTTAGAAGAAGAGGGGAAACATTGAGACAACCTGCCCCTCAGCCCCTTCAGAGGCTGTGTAATTTTTGCTGCTCTCATCTTCTGATTTACCACTCTTAGGGTTTAGGTCAAAGTCCTCTGGGACATCAGTGGTCATCTTCACTTCAACTCTCAAGTATTCTTGGTATCCATTGTTTCTCACTTCTGTTACTCTGTAAATGGCTTTATTCTGTAAAACCGTGCTATTCTCAACTTTCTCAATGGTCTGAAGCTCCCCACCTTGTAATTTTCTATTTAGCAGTCAATTTGTTCGTGACTATATTCTCTTAGTTACTTTCTGTCCATTTCAGGCCTTGGTTTGGACACAGAGCTGACAAAGTTTAATAATACACCATTTTTATCTGTTTGCCAGATGGGAGCCTTTACTGGCTTTCTTCCAGTATTCTAGAAAATTGGAGAGCCTTTGGGTGGTGTTGTCAATCATAATGCTCTCAAAATAGAGGTTGGTTGGTTTTTTTTTAAGTGGCAGTATTATGCATATGCTGCAAATCCTAATTTGCATTAGAAGTCATAGTATTACTTCTGAATTTGCAACATCTGGTGAGAAAATGCAAGACAGAGTGTCAGTGAGAGCTCACTTAAGTAGTTTTTTTAAAAATGATCTTTACAAAGGCATAGCAACTATTTTTAGAATAAAAACTTTAATGATTTTTAAATAATTTACACACCTTTTGTGTGCTTATAGGCATCTGCTCAATGTGTGGCAAGAAGGTCTTGGATACGAAGAACTACAAGCAAACTTCTGTCTAATTGTATTGACTAGTTGTCTTATGAATTTCTGTGTCTTTGTACAGTAGCTTTTCTCTAAAATAAATTGTGAATATTACTTCCTGGAAGATAGTAGATTTACTTGGAATGAGATAAGAGGTAAAGACAGCCTTATTGTTTGCCTAGAAATGTACAGAATATTTGATTTTTGTTGTTTTAGCACTGATGTTAACTGATATTTAAAGAAAATGGTTTGCAGGAACTGATACAGTTCAAAGTGAATGAGGAGATCCTAGTGGATAGGTTGAAACTATGTTACCATCCATGCTGTTCTCCACATCATCATAACATGGATCTTTGAGATTAATTCTTTATTCTTTTGCTGTATCCTGAGTCTTCTGCTTGTATGACAGCAATATTTTATAATTGTATAAAATATGATATTGTATCGCCTCATTAAAGTAGTATCTTCATTTAGTTCTATGCTTTTTAGGTATTTATAATTACTCTAACCACAAACTATTACTTCGTCCCCTCTAAGAATTCAGCTCTTCAGGTTTTAATGCAATTATCCTGTGAATTTTGTTTCTGCCTACAGTACAGTTGATTAAATCACAAATTGTTGAAGTACTGAAATTAGTGTGTTACTATGCCTGTTCTTACTGTGGCAGTAAGGCTGACTAGCTATTTCCTTATTGGCCTCTAAGGAGGTTTTTTGTATGTCATCTGGTGGCTTAAGGCAATAAAATAATGAGCATCAATTTCTAATGCCATGTCTCAGTCTCATAAGTTCCTAAGTTAGTCTGGCTTTTAAGTACTTGGTTTGAAACTGGTTCTTTAATTCTATTGTATATATTGCTTATATACATGTCAAGTCTGAAAGATCAAAGCAGGTTGCCTTAAGCATTGGTTTGATATGAGACTTGAAGTGAGCCTCTTTGAATATGAGGCTGATCACAGCTCTGCATTTCTTTGGTCCTTTGATTAGTTTCTACATAAGAAAGCAGTTTCTGTTATGGAGAGTGTAGGTGTTCACTGTGCATGTTAAGGGAAAAGAACTGTACTCTTAATTCATCGTGGGGTTTTAACTACACCTATTTAAATGTTTACTCCTCTTAGCGATCTCCTCTTCATGGTCTCTTATGCCTTTGCAACTTTATTTCAACTGTAACAGAAAAACTTATCAATGGGAATTTCCTTGCGAATAGATGCTCTCTTTTAGGTTTCCTTTTGCTCTCAGATCTCTTACTGAGACAAATGCATAACTAATGGAGTCTGAAAAAATGATTGTTCTTTTTGTATGTTAGTGGGAGAAAAAAAGAATACTGGGGATATAGGTAATCTCTTAGCTCTTCTGTGGTTGCACTGTAAGTAGCCCTCTAAAAGGGGTTGCCTGACTTTTCCTGTCACCCTTAAATATTCATTATTAAGAATTTGTCACCAAAATTTTTTTCCAGATGTGCTAACATCTCACAGTTGCTAAAACAGTAATTCTTTTCAGCATGTTTTATTTACTAAGAACCTGTGTCATGATAGTGGAATGAGCTGGATACCCCAAAAGAAGAGAGAAATGCTGCTGCTTTTTGTGTTAAAAGCTTCACCTGCCTTAATGATTGGATGGAGCAAGGTGGATTAGGTAGCTGGTGCTGGGTGGTAGCCTGCAATTTTTTTTCCTCATGGTGGTGGCTGCTTGTTTCCAAACAGATCAATGAATTATAATATCAGTGTACATCTCTATGGCACATCCTTTGTGTTGATGAAAGAAAATATCTGTAATTTGCTACAAGTTTTGCAGCAGGTGCTTGCCAGCAATGTGTAGTGATTTCAGGTGGCAGGTTCTCCAGTACTCTGAACGCTTCACCCTTTGTTGGGTGTGTTCTACAAGACTGATTAATTTTTGCTATTCCGTAAATAAAACTTGTTTTCCTGCCTTTCTAAATCTCACCAGTATCTTCATTTCAAAAGCATGACTGGATAATTCTTGAATACATGGTATGAATTGAATGTTTGTTGCACTCTGTAAATACTGGCACTGAATTGTACCCTTACCTCATTTTGTAACTGTTTTAAGAATAACAGGGATTTAAATAATATAATCCTTTGTTCATAATTATTTAGTGAATAGAGCTTGTATGTACCTGTGTCCTATTAGTGGGCAGTTGCTTTTGCATGTTAGAATGTATTTTTGGTTGAAAAAGTAAGGCAGCTTTTGTTTTTGCGATTTTTAAAAAATAATGGATACAAGCAGAGTTCAAGAGGTTTGTACATGCTTGGGGTCTTCCATCTGTAGTTCTCAAACCTTCTTAGCCTCATGAGAGGTTCAGTTCCTGACACCTGTAAAATTTGCTGATGTAACAGTCAATTTTCAGAAAACCCCATTTTCTAAGCACTGTTTTGGAGACCTATTGCTTTAGATTACAAGCCCTTTCCTACATCACTGAGGTGCACCACTGTTCAAGGCAATCTTGGCAAAGAAGCACTTCAAGTTAGATTTTAACCTTATAAACCTTCAGTGTAATTCAGTTGTCATATAAAAGCATTTTTGTTGATACTAAAAATGTCTTATAAGCATGAGGTGCCTTTCCTGAGATATTGTGCAGTGGGGAAAAAAAATCTGTAATGGAAAGTTGCCATTTTTGTGTAATGTACTGAGAAGAACACATTAATGTTCCCAGATGATCAGACTACCCTCTAAATCACAGGTTACATAAGAGATTTGTGCTGCCTGATTTAGTAGGATTAGAGTTTTCCTCAGCACTACTGAATTCCTGCACTGTCCTTACTAGTTGTGCATGCTCATTGGCCAGAGAGCTATTCCACAGCTAAGTGTAAGCAACACTTTGATGCAGATTATGGAGATAAAAGAACAGATTAGCTATACAAATGTTACTGTGCTTGTAGCAGCCAGTCAGATGAAGATTGAACAGGAACTGTTGAAGGATCCATTTTGTGTCAGGGTGTTCTCACATTCTTCTCCATACTGTTCGGGGTTTTTTTTTTGGAGGAGGGGGTTTAATTTTGTTGGGTTTTTTATTTTTTAGCCCTATTCCTTCTGCTCTAGAAGCTGGAGAAAGGACCATCCAGGACAGTAATTTGGCAATACTGTTCCAAGGCATTAGGACTATTTTAACTGTTTACTTTTAGAAATGTGTCATGTTTTTTCCCCTCTTAGGCTTATTCTGTTCCCTCATTATCAGAAGGATATCAAGAAAGACTTTGTCTTATGTACAGGGATGTCAGTTACCACTTTGCATTCAGTTTTTTTTGAGAATGGCCCAGACTTGAACCAAAGTCTCTTATTTAGCAAAGTAGATGTACAGGTTTCAGATGGCAAGTCTGTTGCATGTATGTGCTTGTTCTGGTATCACTCCTATCAGTCCATCTCACCACAGTGCCTCAGATTGCACAAATATTCCAGTTCTGTATGAGCTGAGCATTGCTTTACCCGGAGACACTTAGGCCAGGACCCTCTGTCAACCTCACCATCGTAAGTTCTGGGCAAGAATGACTGGTGCCTTTGTATTGTCAGTGGACCTAAGAGGTATGTGGAAAAAAAAAAAAAAAAAGAAGTAAAAATTAGAACTAAGCAGCTGCTTGAAGCAGTGCAATAAACCATGTTGCTATATTTTCCTAATACAGAGCTTTGAGTTTCCCAGACACAGGAAGAATCCCAGCAAGAGAGATTCATTATTCATTGAAAAACAGTAAGCCAAGGGCAGGAGCTATGGCTCTTTAAATCTGGTATGGCAAAACTTGGTTTGTGATAGGGCCTCTACACTGAGAATAAGATTCTGGGGCCCATAGAATCTTAAAAAAACCAAAACCTTCTACCAAGTAATTGTTTTCCTTGAATTGAAATTGGGCTTTCTGATCTCCTGTAAGTATCTATGGTCTCAAGATGGGCCTGTTTCTGTAATTTGCTTTGGATGCTGGAGGATCCAAGAGTGTTTTTTGGGATATTGCTGCCCAGTCACTGATTTGCCAGTTACTTAATAAAACGATCTGCTCTGTGAGCACCAGTTCAGCAAGGAATCATGCAGGTACCTGTTTTTATCAAATCACTGGTTTAGAAAAAGACTGGCAGGGTACAAAGCGAAATACTAGTGGCAGGAAAACTCACCCTGAACATCATGAGAGCATGAAGATATTACTATGTCACAACTGAGGTTTAGTGTTAAGCAAAAATACTTTTGCTCTCGCAGTTAGGGAACTGTTTGGCAATCTGATAAGGCAGGCTGACAACCCTTACAAATAACACAGCCAAATGTTTCTTTTAATGAGGACTTTGAATATGCCTCATGTGAAGACCAGTTGGTTTTGAACTGCTTGTCTTCCTCCCAGACTTGTGCTTTTACAGATGTTATCATCTGAAATTCATCAGAAACTGGTTTTTCATCAACTTTTATGGGTCAGGCCCATAGTTCACTTCGCAGAGCTTGCATGAGGTGTATACGTGTTCATCGTGTCTGGACGATGCCTGTGGAAAACATGTGTTCTCTGTTGACAAGGTGTGCTTACTTCACCCGCTTCAGGGCAAGAGGAACAGGGACCTAGAAGAATTTGTTTGAAACCTTGCCAAGAAGCTGAAGAAAGATCTGAGTGGAATATTCTCTATTTGGGTATTGCTGATAAAGATTACTCTTACATAGTTCACAAAGACAGTTCCGACAGTTTTTCATCTGGCTGCTGTTCATTTGGGAGAAATAGCAAGTAGATTTTTTTTCAGGCATCATTGAGTTGATGGCCAAATAACTAATTTAGCAGACATTTCCAGATTGGCTTTCTAGTAGAAAACCTCTAGAAACTACTTACTTTTTGTCTCTCCCTTTGCACTGAAAGATGCAGACTGAACTTAGCAATTCTAGCAATTCATTAAGCATAAGCACTTCCAGCAAATGCACTTACTATATGCTTGTCTGCCAACTGGTATTGGGAAAACAAATGTTGAGGATGGTTTGGGTTTTTTGCCTCATCATGGTTATGATGAGTAAATATCAGTATTGTTAACTGTTCCAGTTCACACGCAAATGCACAGAATGCAT